AGCGCCGCCGAACAAATTCGAATCTCTCTTCGAGACAGTTTCGTTGACAAGTAACCAGAGGAGAATCGATGAACCTTGAACTTGAGAGTTTCTGATCACGATACCCACAGCACTTAAAATTCTATTCACTGGCAATCGAAATGTGGAGAACGACGGTGGAACGTCCGAAGCGTACGAGGCCCTGGTATGATTGTCCTGCGATTCGCATCCAGATCCCCTCATTAGATATCGTGCATTATTTACCGTCGTCGTAGTTTTCCGATGATCCCGTTTCCAATAATAACTACCCCGGGACGATTTTTTTTCCGCTGGCAGCTAACAGATTCCGTTTCCCGGAAGACATTCCGGTCAGGCATCTGAAATGGTCATCGAGCGGATCGCTCGATGTCGCGGGTGATTTGAGAATGTCCCGGTCGAATCTCAAGGCCCACTCGTTTTTGGAATCCTACGCTATTCGTGTCTTACTCCATACAAGGAAGGTCGAAAGGTAGGAAGCGGGGTGGACATCTAGGAGAGAGAGAAGGAGGATGAGGATCGAGAGCAGTAGATAAGAGCCAATTTGGTGAGGCTTAGCAGCGTTGTCAGCAACATGGTTTCTCGAAGAAATTACCCGTGGGTAACCCTTGTTGGTCGCTCACCGGGATCTTCGTCGTCCCGAGTGAGATAGCGGATACCACGCGGGTTGAATGGCTAAGTGGGTGAGGGGGTAGATGGTGGTGGCTGTGCTCAAGGCTTCATCTAAACTTCATCAGTGCTAAGCGTTTGTTTATAGCCTCGTCAGAGCGCAGCTGGTCAATTGGGATCCGGGTCTTCGTCCCTCTTCAGTTCTTAGTGCGTCGGGTCCCTTATTTTGGAGACTCCGCTCGATGCTTTCAAGCAAATTTCCTTCTCCCCCTCCTTCTCCCCGCCAGACGGAGTCCTTTCGGATTACGATTCTCGACGTATGCCCTCGTTCAACCGAACCCATCGGCTCATCCTCCGGGATGCGCGAGAAAATTCCCCTATACAGTTTTCCGTACGAAGTCTCCTCGGTTGGGGACACCTCCTCGGTTCCCCTCAATTATTATTGGTCTTGATCTGATAGGTGAACCGTCAGTCGGGCAAACGGGAGAAGGCTCAAAATGGCTCGCAGGCTGACTTGTTGGCAGAGTTGCCACCAGATGTGAAGAACCAACTGCTGCTTGAGCCAAGAGATTTGTCAAGATTCGCTAAAGAGCGCGGCAAACAGAGCCCTGAGAAGGATCCGCGGAGCGCACGTCATCCTGGGCAACCAATGACCCATTCGCCGAGAGAACGAATGAACTTAATCCCCGCGCTCTCTGAACTCTATATGTGAGCTCTCGGTGCGACTGTGGATAACTCTGCCTCCTCCTTAATCCGACGAAGCGAACGGCGGGCGGCAGCGGCAACCGACATATGCTTCCGAATATGTATGCGATCGACAGCTGTTGCTGCTTTGCCGTTCATTGGTTCTTTGGGTCTCTAGTTGCTCGTTTGGTCGCCTGTCTACCCGCCTGCTCACCCGGTAGCAGCAGCAGCGGCGGTTCGATGGTGGCGGTGGCGGCTTCGTATTGGATAACCCGGAAGATTTATATTCTGGATTATCGCCTAGTGTTTTTCATATCAAACGAAAACAACAAGCGAGACACGGAGCTAAAAGGGAAATCGGTTTTCTCGGTATTGGTCTTTTATTCCCTCGCCTTCTCTCTCCCGGTAAGCTTCGGGGAACGAGCGAACAGGGATATTTCGGGAGTTATTTGTTTGTTGCTTGAGCTCCGGATATTTGCCGCAATGTGCCTCTATCGACGAAGTCGATCTGAGGGAGGGTTCTCAATCGAATTACCCAATTCACTTCGCCGTAAAAACGTGGTCCGGTGATCGACAGCTTATCAGTCGAACAAGATGAGATTCGAGGAAATTTGTTGCCTGTGAACGGCCTGGAAGAGAAACTCTTCAGCCCGCAACCCGATCGAGGGTTCGAATCGAGAACCTTGAGATCAGGACGCCCACTGAGTCATCGATGATTAATTCAATTATCGACTCGATGCTATAATCTATTCGACCGGGAGATTAGTCCAAGATATGACTAATTGAGGCGCTGGGCTCATCGATAAATGCAGTCAACAAAAGCGGAATGTAGATTCGGATCGACGCGCATAGTCTCGTTAGCTTTGTTTACCATGGAAGAATCCGAGCAACCCCCCGACGCCGTGGCAGCTGGTCTCAGGACAGTCCGGAAGCATCGAGAAATCTGGATACTTGCGGCACATCGATTCGCGCGGACTTGATCTGCCGAAAGCGCTGGTGACGGTCCGGCTTTTGTCTCTCTGACAGCCCTCGGCCGTCGCTCTGGAAATTGATCCTTCGACTTATTAATTTCTCTCGATGGCTGAATTTTTCCCTTTCCGCATTCACTTGAAACGAATTTCGGAAGTTGAAAAAAAATTTATTCTCGGCTCAGCAAGCCGATGAAAGCCGGCATTATCCCGTGGCTGTTGAACCTGACGAACTCTGTAGAGGGCGAAAGCCTGGAAGGGTTCAGGGAGGGTCTCCACAATAAATTCCCATTTTCCGGGCTGTTTTCCGCGCTGCTCTCATCGCCACTACCACCAACGATATCGGGCTTCCGTTCCAAGGCCGCCACTATCAGCGTCACACTTCTCCGGGAAGAAAGCCCACCGCTCTACAGCGCTTAATGTTCTGTCGAGCATCTCGGACAGGGCGAGCTTCTCGCCTGCCGGACAGACTCGAAGCGACGAGCGAGCGGGTGGTCCGATCGACCGACCGACCGACGCGGATGGACCGGTGGCTTCCTCCAGTTCCCGTGTCGAAGTTTCTCTCTTTTCTGCAGCTGCTATGGTTACGTGGTCGAGTTTTCCTCGTTTTCGGCACATTCTCCCCTCTCTTCCTTCAGCTGTTCCTCTGATCTCGATATCATGCCTGATCCAAAGCGGGTTGAGCTTCGGTTTGAATTCTTCTCCGCGCCGTCTCAACAATGCTGTGAGCCTCTGGCGGCTCTATCGAGAAAATGTAAAGAAGGAAGATGAACTCTGCCAGCTGCCGCTGTCGTGTTGCCGTTGTCGAGAGTCCGGGCTACTTTCTCAAACTCACGACCTGACCTGGACTCTCCATTTCTCGACAGCCCGACATACAGATGAAGTAAACATCGACATTCATCTTTTTGTCGCGGGAGTCCACCGGAACTTCGACCGCGACCGACAGATGGGAGCGTGCCACGTCCGGCCTGCCTCGCACCACGACGCAAGGCTTGAGAATGCACAGACGTGTCGGAGCTAAGCATGACGGCGCACTGACCTTGCGGCATGGTCGAGGCCCGAAAGTGACACTTCTACGTTCTCGAAAACCTGACGGATGCCTCGAGTCCGCCAAGTCGTCGGTCGGTCCGACCCGCCGTCTCCCCGCTCATGACTGGATGTATTTGCGCTCATCCCGCGCAGATTTTTGTGCCACGTTGGTCACTCATTCGGTCAGTCATCTGTCATCTTCAATAGACATCTGAAGCGCCTGCGCGAGCCTCGCTTCAATTAGTGCCAATGGCAGCTTCAAGGCAAATCCGTCAGTGGAAGCTTTCTGGCGTAGACGGCTTCGCTTCTCCGTCACGGTCCGCTGGCTCTCCAGAAGACCTCCGAGCGGGGACGACCTTTGTGACGTTCTCCTCGACAAAAAGTTTCTCCGATCCACGGTGATTTTCCGTGCCACGGGACGGAAAGTGTACGATGTCGCTGAGTCGGCTCCGGGCTCAACGCTCGTACAAGATCGACCCACGCAGGGTCAGTAATAAGACGATAAAAAGCAATTCCTGCTAAGTCTGTTTACGGTAGCCTAATACCGCGTTACGTATTCCGAGTCGACGTCGTCATCGTCGTGGTGGGAAGAGATAATTGATTCTCGGCAGGGCCCGACCGCCGCTGATCACTCTGGAGACCGAGGTAATCACAGTGAATCCATAGACCGATTTCCCTCATATAAACCGATAGACCCCAAGTGGACCGCACAAAATTTGAGAGGAGAGCGAACTTCGTTCGATCCTCCTTCCCTTGAGACCAGGAGCAAGTCGACGCAACGACTCAGCGCGGAAGCTAAGCGCTCACTATCGAGGTTCCCAACTCTCGGAGACTGACGGCTTGTTCGAAGTTCGATTCGAAGAGTCGTCCACATGAATAAATTTTCAAGACGTTGATTCCAGATTCCGAATGTAGAGTCAACGGGAAAATCGCACGCTGAATACAGCTGCCGAGGGTCCGAGTAAATACAGCTGACTACGAGTTAGTCCGATCGTTCAAGCGTTCGTATGAAAAATGGACTCCCATCCACGGCGAGCGGAGAATAAATAGTCTTACTCGTACATGCCGTCCGGCATTGCGATGCAAACGGATGAACATCATCAGTGGCAGCGCAAACTAGCTTCCCACAAGGAGAGAACGATCATACGAAAAGCCGGAGCTCGGAAAGCTGTTTGGCAAGAGCCCGCTTCTGACCGACGCACAGCTCGTCCGTCCGTCCGAGCGAGCGTCCGTCCAGTCGACCAACAGACCGATTCGCCAACAGCGGAGCATTGAACAAACATCTATACACTACGGCCAAATGGACAAGGAGGTGGAATATCTATCTCGAGTGTCTCTTTCTTTTTCCTACTTCCCGCCTCCCACTCGCCCATGGCGATTCCTGTTCGAGGGGGAACCCGGGCTTGTCGCAAACATATTCGATTCACGTTTCCTTCTGCTGTTCCTCTGGCGGCGAACTTCGGTCTGCGATTCCTTCCTCCAGAATGGGTTTTCCCATCCGGAAATCGACAGAATATCCGACGATTATTCCACGAGATTCGGGAAATCGGGAATCGCAAAGGGACAGAATCACGAAAATGCTTCCTGCGTGACAGAACCCCCAGTCCCCTCCTCGGTTCTCTCGACGGCGACTTGCGACTTCTAGTTCACGAGCGGGCTTCGTCAGAGGGAAAAATTCCTCAAGGGAGGGTCGCGATGTACTTCTACATCCTCCCTTCGGAAATAGGTTTGCCCAGCGAAGTTCGTAAAGTGGAAAACCTAAAGTAAATAGCCATGCGCCCTCCTCGGAGCGGGCTAAGGAACGACTCCTTCCCCGGAGTCTATCGGTGCCGCCTCTGTCGCAGCCCCAGCAGTTGTTCGCCGGCAGGCGGCAAACGCTTCAGAGACGCATAAAAATGCCACAGCAATTTAAGAAAACCACCGTTTTTGCTCGACCAGAAGAAACCGGATCAAATCGAAGCCAAGATAAACGTGTCCTTGAAGGCGACCGGCAGTCCGCTCGCTCGGTCGGAAGCTCGGACGGTAGGTGGGTGGGACGACCGTACCTCAACCGGTACTCCGTTTTCATCCACTTGGGAGCTGAACAGAGAGCTCGAGGGCTCTGACGATCGCGCTCGAGAGCGACCGTCGATTCCGGCAATCGTGCCATGGACCTAATTGAATCTCTCGGTCCTGTTCACAGAAAGAAACACATGGAAAACATTCGGGATCGACTGCCACGAAAAAACTGCGTGAAACAATGTTGCGTCTTGCAGGTACGCGACAAGCCTGCGTGTGATCGACCGAGAGTTATCCGTCGGGTTCATGGCGATCCAAATGAAATTTTGATTTATATCCAGCTGGGCGTGATAGGGGCTATTTCTATTAGGGATCGTTCATGGCGCCGCGGCGCGCGGATGGACGTATCGTTTCCACTTTTTGATTTGCTGGGGATGTCGACGTCGTCCCCGTCGGCAGATTATTGGTGGAGTCGATGTCAAAAACCCGCCCGCTCATGACGTTTGTGGCACGACGAGGTGACGCGACCAATCTATCGGTCTCTGAACGAGAAACTCATCTGGTCATTCATCTTCCTACCTAGCTGGTCGGAAATTCGTTCGCGATCTTGAAAGATACAATTCCCGGAAGGAAAAAGGCTGGGTCGTTAGGAAATGTGTAGTTGTAGTGGGTTCAATATTATATCTAAAATCCTTCGCTCGCTCGGTATGAACTTTTCCGAGCTCATTCGAACGTCTATATCTCAATACGCTGAGGTAGCTTCCATCAAATTGTCGCCCATTCTCAGAGAGCGTTCACAACCGCCATCTGCCTGGTCCGCTACGAAATCGTTTTGAGCGAAAACTATTCAATTGAGGAGGAAGCTTTGAAGAGGTAAAAGTAAGAGAACGATTCCAAAGCGATTACTTACTCACGAAATCTGTAGTGAACGCTGTTTTTTGTTCTCCTTTCAAAAAGAAGCCGTCTCTCCCAAAATTTCTTGCCACTCGAGTGTGTCGCTTCTTTGGTTGACGGTCTGGTATTCTAGAGACGCTCTCTCGCCTCTCGGGTGGTTTTTAGGCGACTTTGAAGTCTTTTTAGCAATCAGTCATCTTTCCGCGGAGGAGAATTATTGTCACATTCTCCACCAGTTTTTGTACTCGGCTGATGTATTCCTAGAAGCTCTGTGGTAATCCGATGAAGGCGAAATTTCTCGCGGCCGGCGACCTGCCCGATGACCAGAGTGGATATCGACTCGTGAGTCGTGAGACAATGAGGGATCAACCGATCAATTATCCTGCGAGGGCTCAAGAAAAGTTCAGCGATTTTTGCCCTCTGCACGAGGAGAAACCTCTGCTCTGTGATCGTCAGACGTATATAGATATTCGCGGCATAGAAAGATGAGACACGCACGGAGTCTCACGTTTCGACAGAACTTTTTGTTTATATTTCTGTGGAAACCATTCAAAATTTTTGAATGGATCGTTCCCTGACCCTCGGAATCATAAACGCTCGCCGCAGAATAAGGCTGGGTCGAGACAAAACGATGCATGGCCTTCTAGGTCGTCGGACTGACAGACGGGCCTCGACGGACCGAGAAACTGGCGGGCCCGTTGGTGAACGCTTCTATTCTAAGAACGAGGACACGAGGGATGCCAAAGAGGCAGTCGGCACTTTCCGAACCGTTGTTGTATGTTTACTCTCGAACGTCGTTTTTTCTCCTGTTTTCCTCCGAAGAATAGAGTTAACGAATTATAAGTCGGGGGAACGCAAAGACCTCCGACAATAACTCAATAAGAACTATTGCCCAAGCCTCGCAAACGAGCCGGTGCACAAACAAACTCGTTCTCAAAAACACGCAATTACGGGACGCCAAGGGCAAACAAATGCGTGACTTCGCAAAGGTATCAAAATAATCGATACGTCGATCACTCAATGCGCGAGGACCCGCGCTAATAGATGGTGATTCTTCGCTCTTGATACTTTCGGGAGTTTTCATTTAAGCTCATGTTTGTGTGATAGGAAAGAAGTAAACGCTTCTATCGACACGCCGAGACCGGCTCGTGAGCGCTCGAGAGGTCTTTTCCAAAACCAACGACCAAAGATGGAGAGCACGAGAGGAGCTCAATGTACGGCATGGGTTTTTCGTGATCGTCAATCGTCGAGATGATGATGATGACGGTCCATCCTCAAATAACGAGTTGCGAATGAATTCTTCATAGCCGGGAGCTCGCCCTCGGAGGGACATTGAACGCTGAACCGGAGGTTTCGATATAGTTCTCTATCGACCATATTCTCCCATTCGAGTTCTCTGTTAATTCACAATGACGTGTCTCTCCTCGCTTGCGACGGCGACGCCGAAGAGCTCCATGGCCGTGACGAGCCGCACTCGCCGCCGCCACTGTCGTCATCATAGTTCATAGTTAAAGTTCTCCCTCTCGTCATCGTTTTCATTCGTCTGCCCTGTCTCGTTCGAAAGGGAGGGAGGCTCGTCCGATGTCCCGCTGAGAGGACGAGGATCTATATCTGAAGGGTTCAATACGATTCCTGAGTGCCTTCCGCTCTGTCCGTCCGAAACAACGTCCTCATCCAGTCAGCGGGGAGCGGACGGCCGCACGGACAGGCACCGGAGACGAAGGAGTGAGAGGGAAGAGATGTGCCGCGATCGCAAGGCTGTTCCGAGAGAACACTGCGCCATTACTCATTCTGATTCCCTCATGACGACTAGTCGGAAGGCTTCCCTTTTAGTCCCGAGCTCTTCTCCACTGCTCCTCTTGCAGAGGATCTTCTCGACGAAGTGACAATGAGACCTCGGTCCGCTCAAGTGTCCGCTTATTTTGTTTGTTGGATCGTCGTCCCTCGCCCGACGCGGCTCCCGGCAACGACCATCGCGAGTCGGCTGATTGACCGGGGGATGTGCTCGTAAATGATTAACTAAGGAATGAGAAACAATTTTACGGGGAAAGCTGAGACACTTCGCTTCATGAGACGCCTCGTAGTAGTCACCGATGGAACTTCGCTTGTGGTACGGCGGCACGGCGACTGTAGATCCCTCGGAGGCTTTTAATCATCGGGATGAATAGGATCCTCGACGATTGGATCGGTGGAGCGTGCTCTTCCCGGCTTCGACCTATGTCTGTATGTACAACAAAGCTCCGACCTTCAGCTCGTTGGAAATCAAAGCGGGGACGCGGAGATACATCGTGAATGTCTAGTTCGTATTCTACGACAGTCGGGAAACTAGGAAATTCGAGAGGGCCTGTATTTCTCTAATTGATTGGTGATCCCAAGATCCAAGGATCGACGACGAGACATCCGCGAAGTAGAATTTTTTTCAATCGAGGAGGCGAATCTAGAGTTCCGTCCTAGATATCTAGTTCCAGCGATGAGTCGTGAGTTTTTGTAAGCGTAGAGCCTTGTCGGCTCCCGGAACGGCGCTGAAATGTCCCGAAGCTATCGATAGGTTTACAGTCCTCGCGTTCCCGTGGCGGTGATCCGTCAACTCGGCGAGCATTGCCCACAGATGGCGAGCCCGTAAACGTCCATCTGAGCGTCGCTGTTCCTTAGCTGTCGTTCGATTGCGATTGATTTTCATCGCGGAGGATAGGAGCGCAGCCCAGAGCTTCAGGCAGGGTTTCGAATGTCAGGTCGGAGCCCGAAGTGTCGATGCCTGATCGTCGATATCGATCACCGCGGATGAAATGTCTTGGAAATTACGAATATATGCGCGATAATACGCGACTTGAGTGGGGCATGATGCTTCTTTGGCATTATACGGACGCTTTGAAATCCTATTTCCCCGGCCTAAGACCGAAGCTTTGGGATGTGAGTGTTTGCTCTGTTCATTTTGAGGCGATTAAACAACTAATGCTTCCCAGTGGTGCTGGTGGTCACAGTAGTTCGATGTTTACACGTCGTTCATCGCCTTCAGAGTGGTTCTCAATTTGCGCGGAGCGATGCCGATCGGAGAAGACAGCCACTGCTTCGACGCAATCGTATGGAGTCACGTTCATTCCAAGGCGGGCACGTTTTGGACCGTCGTAGATCTGCCGTGGCGGCTTTTGCCATTCTGTATGCTCATTGCGTTGTCTTGATGTGCGACGTGGAAACCATGGGATGTTTCCGCGAAAACAGCTGAGTGGAGATTTTTTCTCGCTCCTTCCAATGCGGCCCGTTCCATTCGGAATCGCCGCCTTCTCTTCATTTCTTCAACGTTTCATACTCTCGTCTTCTCTCGCATCTCAGGTTGCTCAGAGCCCCTGTCGGCCAATCGCTCATGATTTGACGCTTTGTACGAGACGGGCTTGTGACTTCCAGGCCCTTTCCCTTTGTAGCGGCCATCTGGGTAGGTTTGGTTGTCTCGAAAGCAGCTGAGCCGTTGGTTCGCTGGGGATTCTGCCAAACGGACGCCGAGCTCGTTCGTTCGCACTTCCGACGCACTTTCTGCTCCTCAAGTTTTCTTTCTGGCTTTCCGTTCTCCCTGCGCGTGTTTGCCGAGAGTTTTTCGAACTCTCGTCTCGCCGCTCTTCGTGAAACGTTTTTGCTATGAAAAGCGAGACCGACCGATGTAAAAACCACTAGCGGAGAAACCCGTCAACAAATTATCACGCGGATGAAGGGCGGCTTTCTTTTCTGAGCGAGCTAGGCGAGATGGGCTCTATCGTTTTTAAGTTCAAGCGTTTTTACTATGACTTTCAAGCCTGGCCAGCAAAAACGCTTCCAGTCGTTCCTCAAGCCACTTGAGGCTCGCGTTGCAACATTCGTGCCCCCACACAGTGATATGTGAGGCAAGGATTACCTCCCCGGCGCGAGATCCAGGTCCAGAGCGAATCAGCGGAATCTCGGCGGAGATCTGGCAATACATCCCACAAAACTGACGCCACTGCATTCTCTTTCTAGAAAAAAAAAACTATGCGAGAACGAGAAGCCCTAGCACTCCGGAGGGATCAATCATGATCAGGCGACGGAGGGTTTTCTGCGAAAATCGCCGCAAAAACCAACCTATACGCCAATACCTCATGTCCACGAAGGCGCTCGCACGGGGAAGCTACGGGATGAAACGCTGAGGAGCGTGACGCCGCCAGCCGCCGAGATGGAGCTCGAGGTGGCGAAAGTTGTTGGAAGCTTTAATTTGATTCTGGCCGTAATTGAGTGGCTACAAATTGTACATCCGATGCTGCAGCATGGGTCGCGATCGTGGCCATTAACGTGCGCATCGTTTGCTCGATCTCAATTTGGGGCCCACACCCTTTCAGGTGGGGCGCTTCCCCGCTTGGCTGAGCTCGGACCGGCAGGGATGAAATTCACGGGACGGAATAAAATGCGCGGGGCGGATTGAGCAATGAATATGCATCGGATCACTCAGGCCATAGCTCGGAATTCTGAGAATATATGCATAAATAGACCGGAACATTCATTCGAAACACGCGAGGAACAGAGGCCTGATCCGTTTCTCTCCGCGGAAGCACCCGCCCGAGTTTGACCGCGAGTATCGGAGCTCATGAGTGGCGAGGATGAAACGATTCCCACGATGCCAATGAACCGAGCGAGACGCGTCCCTTGAAAGATACCACGGTACAGCACTGAGGAGGGATGGAAATCGGCTTTCGCATATTCTGGAGAGAAAAATTCACAGGAGGAGCTTAGGAGGTCATCATCGACGTCTCCAGGAACCGAGAGAGAACCGCGAGCGGATATCCTAGCTCGACTTTTGCGAACCTTGATGCGGCGGCAGAAACCCGATTCAAGGCTTCGAGTTCGTCGTGAAATCATAAATGCGGAGCCGCTCCGGAACGTTTCCATTAGAATCGGTGTGGAAGGTTCCCGACACGGACGCGTGAAATCTCCCGAGATGAGCGAGATCGCGCAGGTTGATTTGTCTCTCCTCGATGCGGCCACTCAAGAAGTCGCTTGTCGATCAAAGACGTCTGGCTTCGCAATAGCCTCGGGCACTCGACAATGACGAAAGTGCGCTTCGTAATCAGTCTCGATCGGAAATTCTTGACGGATCGTGTGCGCCAAAGCAAGCGACAGACGCGTTCTCCGAGTGTTTCACCTTTATCGCGATCTTCTATTTCATCTTAATCGAGTATTCTTCCGTTTCCCCGGAGCTTGTTGCCGTTCGGGCTCCGAATATCGATGGAAGCAGCGCGGAATTTTTTACAAATCGGCTCCGGCTCGATGTTTTAGAGCGACGAAAATTGGAGTTCTGGAGGGGAGAAAAAAGGAAAGATTGGGAATCTTCGCCGGGGGGCCGGAGCATGTGGTGCTCTTCTTAGGATCGAGCCGAGCAACACCTGATCGAGCAAAATAAACAACTCTTCCTGTACTCGAGCGCTTGCTCAAGCTCTCCCCACGAATCGAGGGGAGATTCGGAAGCAAAGGCAGGGAACAGCCCGTGGTGGAACAGCCTTGACCGCGTACGATTCCGAGAAGAGATTCAGACGACTGACTGAGTAAACAGTTTCCGTTTGTTTTACTCCGGGATGACTCGACGGAACCCTGTGGAGTCTAGAGTTTTGAGCTGTGGATTCCAGACCAGTCAAGGAAAAACTATTATAGTTTAACTTCAGTGGCCGTCTTGTATGGCGCGACGCTACTCCCGACCTCGACCACCTATCGACAGATCCCTCACCATCGATTATTGAGCCCCCGGAATGCACACTGCGTTCATCGGAGTCCAACGCATGGATCCGATATCTCTCTCACCTTGTAGGCGCCACCATGAACAAGAGGTCGGCGGACGATCTAAATTCGTTTCGAGAGGACGGAATTCAAGACGCTCGGACCCTCTCGGTCCTGGACTATTCCTAGATTTCCAAGGATTGCTCAACGAGCAGGCGGGTCTTGGGTGCCTTTGGAGCGGATCTCTCCGCATTTCCGCGGATCTGCCTGCTAGCTCGCAAGGCGCAACGAATTTTCCGTAATTCGAGGACCGATGATATCCTAGGCTGTTCTCTCCTCTCGGTGAAACTTGCCACAGACAGTCTATATGTATGAGTAGAGGTTTCCACGAGCTCAGGTCCTAGCAAACTCGCTCTAGGTTCTGAGACGAGTCAGAACAGGCGTGCTCACCGACGTCGAGAGCGGAGCCCGGGTCATTTGTGTCCTTGCCTCTGTTCGAATATACTTGGCTCCGAGCTAAATTGGTTCTCCGTTCGCTCCCGAGACGGTTCTGGGCCGATTGAGGGTGGAAGTTCTTGAATTGGGAAGAAAATTGCGAGAAGAAAAAACACGATTGCTTTTCCGAAACAATGAGTGCACCTAGAGGGGCCAATGATTAACAGCCGAGAGCTTTGCTGTAGAGGAAGGGGACGGGATGCAAAGGGTACAGGGGAAAAAGTCGGAAACCGAGGGAAGTCGGAGGAATGATGGTTCGAATTGATATGAAAAGGAGGAGGAGACGCCCCACGGAGTCTAAGTCAGCATTAAATTGCGAGAGCGTACATCGTGCGCGGTGTAAGTGTCGAGGGCGGAATCCGAGTTTTCCATACGATTCCGAGCTCCGGGGAAAGAGTCACAGACGCTGGCGAATGAATGATTCCCGCGACGAATTTTTTCTCAGGATCCGGGACCTCTGGGACGAGACTCCTCCGGAGCGCGGTTTCCGGGAGAAATTTTGAACAGCCATCCGACGACCGATCTTGGAGTTAGCCGAATTGATCTGACGGACTTCTTCGATGCGCGTCCATGAATTCAGAACTAAATATTATTGTCATGTTCTTTCCAGGTCGACACGTGAGCCACCATCGATTGATGATGTCGAGTGAAAACGACGTTGACATAGATGCGCTCAATCATCTGAACCATCTCGGACGTCAAGAAAGAGAACGGCCGGTCATAAACGAAAGTTTGACTCCTGTCAACATCACGGGACAACTCGGAGCTACCGTGTACCTCCACTGTGTAGTACACAACCTTGGGCAGAAGACTGTGAGTAGCTCCCCGGAGGTGCAGCTTTACATTTCCGCATTTTCTGATAGCTCTTGCCTGTCTGGTTTCACCGGAGACAAGAGAAGTGTACCTGGAGCTCCAGCGTCGATAGATAAATGATTTCCCGTCGAGAATCTCGTCCTCCTGGGAGTGGGTTCGCCTCTCAGTTTCACGAAATTCTTCTCGTGTTACTCGTCCTCCGGAACGTGAAGTATTGTCATGCCGCTGTTGGTAGACTAGACTGTCTCTGGGGGTGAGAGTCAGCGGCAGCAAGATTGGCAGGAAAATATTTACAACATGATAGAGGACCTGTCATTGACATCATGTCTCCAGAGAGTCAACCGAACCTCTGCAGGTTCCCCCTTAGGCAGGTAGGCTCCAATTTTTATTTTCCTCCGGATGCCGACAAAAGTCAAAAGACTTTGCCGAGACCGCCAGCTGGAGGGAGGCCGGCACGCCGACTTGTAGAAGGAAGGAGTAGGGGAAATGAGGACTGATTTCAGAGAGGCTGAGCGAGAGATTCGAATAGCGGGGCGAGGGGCTCTGAGCTTCCAGAACGAGAGCGAGCGAAACCAGAACGGGGAAAATTTTGAGGAATTCGAGAGCGTCTGGTAGTGAGGAGGTATCTGGGAGGTGGAAAAGTGGGAGAAAAAACAGCCCAGCGGCCTGATCCGTTATTTGAATAGCGGCCGAGCCGGCAGAGACAAACTGGAAACGCGAAAGAGAACGAGACCGAGGCAGAACGGCTCGAGATGGAGGCAAAGAGCCCATCATTTCGGTCACGTCGTTTACTTGTACGTTGGACGTTTGTTCGCGTGCCAGACCGGTGGGTTTCGTTCGTTCGAACGACTCGTCGACTTTGAGGCCACCGTTCGCAGTAGCGGTTCGGCGGTCTCACTTGCTAGCGAAGACGCAAATGGAGCAGCTAGTTTGCTCTTTCACCCAACCAGTCTCAAAGGTCAACGTTTGAGGATTCTTAGTTGTTTGAGAAGCGAAAAGAAAAAACAGTAGAGAGGGAGACAGTGCTCAGATGATGAAATTCTGAGTCTTCGAGAGTATTACCGTGCACAGGAGCCGGCTATCCGTACTGCAAGGGTCCACCGTCCTTCTTTGAAGGAGAGACGGCACGACCAATCGAGAATTCTAAATTGGTAGGTCCCAGTTTTCTCTTTCCTCCGGCATGAGAACGGTTCCAGCAGCAGAGGCCCGAGTGTTCCCTGTTCCATTCAACGCGCTAGTACCGTTCCTCTGCGAGACATCACTCGATTAAGGAATTATTATCCCAGATATCTGCGGGAGCGATCCGTCATCTCTCGACAAAATCCACCACGCTGGTATTCGGAACAGCTGGCTCGCAGGATAGGCTATCGCCGTTTATCTGTCAAGATCGGTGATCCGATCTGATCTCGGAGTCTGATCTTCCGCCGAGGGACACGTGTTGCGTGCAGCGGTTTTCGAGACCGGCGATGGACTGGTGTCGTGGCTCTCTAGGTGGTGCCAGAAGAAGGGGTGTGGTTTCCTCTTCAGACGCTCTGAGACTTTGATAGACACGCTAAGCCGTTAGCGGCACGGTAGAGCCAGGCGGAATTCGATTCCTACGAGCCTAGCTGACCTACTTGATTTTTTCGGCGCGATAGTTTGGGATGAAAGTTGGACTTTTGACTAATTTACCTCCCCCCCCCCATCGCTACGTTCCACGGTCCGTACGCGAATAGCAGGGTCGATGCCGGCATGTTACCACCGACTTCCTGGGCCGTTCCGTCTCGGATCCGATTCTTGCCGAGCTCCGAGTTCGCTTTCATGTTATCGGGGGACGTCGGAGGTGGAGACAAGACCGGTCGTTTTTTTCTCGCTCGCCCGCGCTCGAAGCAATCCGAGCGACTCGGAGCGCGCTGTCCTCGTCATTCTTCCACACGTCGATATCAATCGTAATTTTCGGAGGAAGCGTCGGATCGAGCACGCTCGCGTAGACGTCCTGATGTAGAGCGAGTTACGCGATCCGTCTTGAGCGCAATTGTGTAGCGACTAGAATAGTTCTCCAAGTCGATAGTTCTCGTCTATTCGTCCTCCCTGCTCCTGCTTCGCCCTTGCTAGACACTTTCGAAATTCCGGAGGACTCTCAGCTAGGAATTCTTTCGAGGATCGAGCGGAAATGAGAGATGAGCTCCGGTGAGTTCTTGAGCTATTTTCCGTCGTCTCTCGCTCTGCCTGGCGACAATCGGCAGCGAAGGGCGGGGAGACGCAATCCTCGCGAGTTCGCCTCGACGTCAAACAACGTTAATGCACTTCGCGGACTGGTTGAGTGTGTATACATTCGGTTGCGTAGTGCGTCAGCCTCGAAAGCAAACCATCGTAGCCGAACCATTCAGAACGTGACTTCGATGCGCATTGATGATAGTGATTTGTGGCCGCATGAAGGAGTCTAATATTGTTGGCACAGCGTTTCCGGAGATCACGGCCGCAGCAGCAGCGAGGCTCTCGACGCGGTGGTAACTTCCTCAACCGAATCGAAGGCTCTTCCACCGCTCGGTCCTGATCTCTTTCAATGCCCTGATCCATTCGTTCCTGGTTTCCGTCTCGAAGATTCGTGTCTGCGTGGGAGGGGGCTGCTCGAACACGAAAATCGCTCTGTCTCTCGAACCCACGTAGGAGCCGCGCGGAAATGTTCCGAGGTCGATCGGTCGGATCGAGGCGGGAAGAGATGGAACAAAGATGAATTCGTGGACGAGCGATCGAGGAGAGGGAATTTAGATTGCTCCGTGCTCACCTCGGATGGTGGATCATCGCGAAATATCGACGAGGTCGTAGGTCTCGTCGCTCGTGTCCTCCCGGCGTTAATGTGTTTTTGAATTTCGGAGTTGCAGGTGACGTGGCTCCGCCGATCGGACTATCACATCCTGACGGTCGGAATGATGACGTACACCACGGACGAGCGATTTTCCGCCGTGCGTGGAGATGGTATTAACGACCGCGACGACTGGATGCTCCAAATCCGTGCCGCGCAGAAGGCCGATGAAGACGAATACGAGTGCCAGGTCAACACACAGCACCCGATAATTAGCATCATCGTGAAACTAAATGTTCTCTGTGAGTAGCATGCCTTGACTCGAGTGCAGCCGCCTTTATGGTATCGCGAAATTCAAAATTTCGTAAATTAAAAAAGAAACTAACCCGATGTTGGGATCCTTTCGTGAACGGAAATGATTGCGATCCATCGTCTCGATACCGGGGGAAGGGGATCGGTTTCCATGGGTTTGCACCGAGATCCCTGTCCGCTTACTAAGGCTGTCACTATTGTACCTTTCATGTGAACTGTTCAGCGCCCCACGCCATGATCTTAGAGTCGCCGGAGCTGTACGTGAACAGCGGAAGTACGATCAATTTGACTTGCGTTATTCACGATCGGCCACAACCCCTCGCCCATATTTTTTGGTACCACGGTGATAAGGTGAGTTCTAAGCAAATCCGGCCGCTCCCGCGCTATCTCAATTGCAACATTGTAGGCTTGGGGAAACAATTCGAATTTACGGACGCATGCAATCGAATCCGGCAGAGGCCATTTAATCGAACATGAAGTCGAACATGGAGTCGAACAGGAGGTTGCGTCAGTCAGGAGTCGATCGGAGACGCCGCCGTCTAGGTCAACGTTACACGATCGCGTGCAGCGAAACCTTTAGATAGCGCCAGACATATCTGGCGCCGAAGGCGCATGTCTTCGCCACGCAACGAGATAAACGCTTTCTCGAACTCGTTGTTTTCCTGTATGTTCCCCTGCCTATCTCTCGTTCGCGTCTTCCTCGCTCCGGGTCTCCCGCTGGTTGGCTTCTCGTTGTGATTTCGCTCGGATGCACTCTAGAAATTGGCGTTCAACGAGTGAGCCAACCGACCGAGCCACCGACCGACCGATCGGCGCTCGTTGATGATGACGACGACGAAGATGGTACTGACAACGCCGGAGCGATGGACCAGAGCAAACAGGCTGATTTCCCTCAATACTTTCACTTATCATAGTGCCTGTTGTCGCGTCCCCCGGAGCTCGATTTCAAGAGACCGCTCCGTCGGCAAGGGTCCTGAGCCCTGGCATGAAATCAGGCTTGAAATCTCAGCTCTTGCGCTTCGCTCGTCTTCTGGGGAATATTTCGTTTTTCCCTCATTTCATGATCGATAATAATGGGGCGAGACCGATCTAATTACATTCTCCCGCGACGGAAACCCAGGTATGATGTGTGTTTACCCTCCCGAGCTCCACGAATCCCGTCGGATATCTCGAATAGATTCGTGTAAAAACGCACCTCCGTTAGCTACCATGAAGAAAGACCTGAGAGGCCGATCGCTCAGGTTCGGGCCGCGTATTTGTCGCCTGCCGTTATCGTCCGACGGCGTCGCAGTCGCGCCGCCGTCAACGTCGTCGCGGTCCTGAAAGCGAATTGATGCCTTCTCATTATCTGAGGCTTGTTATCAGTTCGTGCAGTAGCAGCAGCGTCTCTCCCATTAACGAGGCCAACAACAACAGCAGCAGCAGAAGCGAAGCCTTGCAAGCGAAGCAAGACCACTTCGAGCGCAGCTTTTCGGCCGGCGTAATTTTTTTCTGTTCCGGTACCGACATTAATCTAGTATTAATAATGGCACCACCGGTGGCGTAACCGTACTACGAGTAAACGGAGGGCCCGAATCCGTTTCAGGTGATCAACTATGAACCCCACAGCTATATCACAATGCTGCCGCCGAGCAGAACGCGGCCCGATCAAGATCGGTCGTCGACGCAAATGTCGCGTCTGCTCATACATAATGCCGACAAGCACCACACGGGCAAATACACCTGCGCGCCCGTAGATTCGACGCCCGCTTCCGTGCACGTCCACGTGCTGCACGGTGAGCGTCATTTACGGAAACCATTGATTTTTCGCCTTCGAAAAAAATGTTTGCATATCGCTAATGATTGGCTGATCTTTTTTTCCAGCGGAGGAGCACTTAGCGCGGAAATCGCACGAAGCCAGTGCTGCAGCACCGACGAGTAATCCGCAGTGGTCGACGTCGGTTGTCCACGCGGGTTTGCCGCTTCTCGCTCTCGAGCTGCTTTTCCTGCTCGTCGTCGCGCGGACCACGTGACAACACCTGGACTTTAGGTCCTGTAGATTCCCGTGTCAGGTGAGTCCCGCCGGATCGAGACCCTAATGTGTCTTGGAGTTCGTCAGCGATATCCTCCAGGGGGTGGAGGGAGCATCGAATCATAGGGGGAAAAAAACGCAAACTTTCGAGATGTTGTGCCCTGCGAGATTTCTCCAGTCGCCGAATTACGAGACCAAGCAGCTCTTGACGCGGGAATGGAGTCGGGCTGAGGAAGTCTGCGAGTTACTGCTGCAGATCGGGGATCGTAATGGGGAACGAGCAAGCGGCAAGGGTGCAATCCAATTAATGAGCCGTGTTGATTCGTTGCAGTCCTCGCGCAAGTCGGACTTCACCGTGTCCGCAGTCGCTGCCAAGGATGCTCAACATTCGAAGAAGTCGTTTTCGCCAGTGCCGACTTCCGAGTCTGAGGATTTCATTCAGGGCCACTACGCCACCGTGAGCGCCAGAGGAACGTTCCTGCAGCTGCAGACGTCTGCATGTTCGCTGGGGACGACCCAGTATCCGCTCGGATCCTCGAGGCAGGGTACGGATTTCGTCTGAAGTGAATTTTTTTCGTGGCCAAAACTCTTCACGGTGAGCACGCGAACGCTCCTGGCAGCTAAGCAGGTCCGAGCCTTAGACTCCGTTGAATGTACATAGTTTGCTAACAAAAGAATCCAACGACCCATTTGTACAATGCAACTGCGGCTCGCGCCCTTCACAATGAGTAGGCGTCGCAGATTTCCGCTGTTCTTTCCTGAAACTCTTGGAACCTTGGAAGTTGACGATGCGGAAGATATTTTCCAAGAAAGCCCCGACTCCGGTGCGGACTTCAATGGGAAAACTGTGGAGTCGAGGCTAAATAAGGATTGGAGGAATTCTGAATGAGCCCAAGGCTATCGAATGTGAGTCAGAGCCCGATTGCAAAAAGACGCTGCGAGAGAAAATACATTCGTGGACTTGGTGTGATTATGAGAGAGCGCAAAGACTAAATTTTGTTCGGACTGTGATATAATGTACATAGCATATGGAAAAGAAGACTATAACTGATCGACAGAAGAACTAACAAATGTCAATACTACGATGATCATGATCGATATAGAGAATCAAATGAAATGATCTATTTAAAAAGAAAACAACAGCGTCCTTTCTCTTAGAATTAGTCCGTATCAATGGGAACCCTTCCCGGTTTCCACTGGAATCAGCAAAAGAAGAAAATCAATACTGGATGGAAGTAACGATGAACCCTCAGTATTCCAGCTCCGTATCAACTCATTATCCGAATTCGCGAAACATTCACTGCTTTCAATCAGACCCTCCTCTCTGGCTTTCTCTCCAGCGCATTCTCACAGCTCAGCGGCGCAGCGGGTCCTTCGTTCGCGACACGGTTTATATCGTTCCTAGAGAGAGCGTTGAAGGTCTCGGCTCGAACTGTGAAATTTCCACGAAGGCGGCCGTTCAGCAGCCTGAGAACGCCAAACTCGTTCGGAGAAGTATGCTTCGTCGACATCGGTCTCCGACCGAACTTCTCCTCGTGGTTGAGAATGCATCTGGACTTCGAGCGGAAAATTTTCGACACATCCCGAGTGCTCGGAATATTTCACCAGCAACCTCGTTACAACGATAATCCCCAAGGGAAGACGTTCTTACGCCGGACGTGAATTATAGTCGATATCGTAGGATCGAGCCGGAGCTCGCAGACTGTCCGGAAAAGAAGTTCACTCAAGTGTTGTCGTTCGAATTTTTCGGAAAAATAGGGTACTCAAAAGGTCCACCTCAAATCGTCAGAAGAGCCCTTATTCGGAATTTCCGAAAATCGAACAGTTGCGAAATCTAAAACCATCCAGAACTTAAACCAGGCTCCTGCAGCCGATATCGTTTTTTTCTTCCAGTCGTGCGGAATAGGACCTGTCCCCGGGGGGGGCGCTCCGTGACATAGCGAGTGAAACGCTAGAATTCTCGGCTTGAACCTTCCGAAGGCTTACCGGAAGAGCATATGTTGTGATAAAAGCTGAGTGGGTGTATAAAACGTTTCGATTTTTGCTACGGGAAGGCAAGCCTTTCGAAACTGTCAGGCGCCACGGAGCTCTTCTACAAAGGGAACTCACAACTATTTATTACGATGTGGGTTTGTAGAGAACGAGACGGCGATGTCTCCGACGACGCCGCACCCGATGGCGACCGACACTCGGAGCTGTAATTGATGATGCGAAGGTCAATTGTGGGAAATGATCATCGGAAGGAGCAGAGCAAAACGTTCCTCTTCGTTTCGCCAGCTGACTGACTCACTTTCCTCCTTCATTCCTTTCTTTCTGTGTAGAGGCTGCGACGGCGTCCGACGTCTCAAGTTCCGCGTCCGTCACCCAAGCCTCACACTTCAATGTCTCAAGGAAGTGGCGCCATACGGCAAATACGGCCTTCTGGTCTCGTATGTGGCAAGTGGATGACGAACGTGCCCGAAGAGAATAACAAAAGGCAGCCGTCACGGGTCACGAGAAACTCTTCCGCTCGCCTTTCTGCCGCTGCGAGGCTATTCGACTGCCTTCATCAACAATCCAGTCGTCCTCAGCTGCTCTCGAATTTCGGTTTGCTCGGCTGGATTCTCGCCCGGCTGCTTTGAATCGTAGGCCGGAGAGGGATCGGTCTTTCGGTGTGTTGGCATTGTTGGCCGCCTCGGAACTGCGTCGCTTTTGAGGGACCTATAAATAGGAATTAGAAACGTCTAAGCCTCGAGAGTCATTTCCGCTCCTCCTTGCGACCTTTTTCCCTCGGAGCCGCTGCATTTGCTGAGGCTTCTCCCTCCCCCCCCACTCCCACCGACATCCGCCGAGACTGGGACGCATGAATTTCCAACGAGGCGTCAGTCAATCATCGCGTGAAATAATCGTCCGCACATGCCATTGATCCGATTCACGGTGAAGGGGGCAGGGAGAAGTCGGAAAAGACGAGCTGAGGGGGCTGCGGGTCGGAAGCTAACTGAGATAGATGAAGAAAACGCAGAGCTAACACGGACAAGTCGACGGATGCACTCGCAGCGAGCGTGTTCTCCATCGAACCTATCAGAAAGTCTCCAGGGACCTGTTTTCCGATCGAATTCGGAATCGATCTGCATATCACTGAAGCCTTTCATTGCCCCGATTATGACCCTTGATCACTGAGCGGATCGAAAGGTTGGAGAGTTCCGCTCCCCGGGGCGAAGCGGAGATAGCGATGCTCGATCCGAGGGGGCACGAGGGATTATCGCGACCGGCCCCCATCGACGTGAGACAATGGATCTAGAGATATGTACAAGCCGAGGGTGGGAATTCGTATCAATCGAAGCAGTTCACCATCGAATCACCGGGGATTTCTATCGCCAGTTTCCGCAACATCCCTCCCACTGAATTTATCGTTCGCTCCCTACTCGTGGAATCAACGTTCACGCGATGAATGAAATAAGCAATGGAATGAATCTGAAAATATTCGGAAACATTCCCTGGCCCTCCCCCTCTATGCGGCGTTAAGTGTGTTTCAGGACCGATAGTCGGGATATTCCTCCTCCAGATTCCTCGGCTCTGGATTCCCTTGGTCTGTCAGCCGGCGGTTTGACCCAAATCCAATTTGCGGTCGAGTCAGCCGAACGCCTGACCACTTGCCCTTTCTTGAACGCTCGTCGGCATGCTCGTTGGCGGACGGTATCATGCGCTCGAGGGAATCAGTGTCAGAGCGAGGATCTCAGTGAGCGGGTCACAGTTATCTTTACCGAGTTGCCGGCTCTCATTAGTGGAATCTTGTTACGTGCGAGCTACCTGGCTCAAGTGCTTAGCCGTCTCCCCATGCCGCGGGCCTCCCCCATTCGTCTGGCCGTCCGCCCGCTCGCTCGCTTACATGCTTGTACAAGATTCTGTCTCTCTGTTCCCCTCGTTGGTTTGCATGCATGGGGCTTCACAGCAAAGCCAAAAAGTATCTCCTTACACTTATTATCAAGATGCATTCGGAGCAGTCGCGCACGTCCTTCCGTATGCACCCTACCGCAGCTGCTGCCCCAGATGCCGCTCCATCGCTGACCCGGTGGCCGAAGCTGCGGTTATGCCTTAGTCTATACAAATTATTCACCGCTCACACGTGGAGAAACCCGGACGCACTCGAGGAACCTCTATTTTGGGCTCCTCTCGTTTTTCCATCCATAGATTCGATCGGAGGGGCTTCCGATCCGGCGTTCGAGGACGTGCGGGTCCGAATAGATAAACATCCAGGATAATTCGGATTCAGCAGGTCGATCCATAGCCCTCACGTCGTTCGGCGAAAACAAAGACTCGATGATGATGGGGCTCGGCGAGGAAAAATAGAACTTCGGAGTTCACACGCGATTCTCGAGTTGACATCGACGCCGTAAAAAGCATCTCTCGATCGACTGATCACCAGGTTGATAAATCGATCAATGGATCGATATGTAGTCTGACGTTGGCGACGAAGAAGCCATTGTCCGAAGCTCATCATCCGCACATTCTCGTCTGGGCGCTGACGTGGTTCACTGTGTCCGGAAGGTTGTTCCTCTTGTGCGGCCTCCCGATGTATTCCGGCTTGCAGATTTACTTACAGAACACGTCATGTAATAATAATTGGATGAAGGCCCGAGACAGGTTTGCTGCTCGGAGGTCATACATTGTTCACTCGTCAAAGAGCCACAGATGAATATGTAAATGCTAGTCGACTGCTTGATCGGCGTCCGGACGAGTACGCTTCGTCAAAATAGACAGGCTTATTACCATTAGACTGGATGACCGACCGACCGACCGAATGACCGACTGAGTGAGTCACAGAGGATATCGATTCATTCACTCGACACTTTACGATCGCAGATACCAGTACCTAGTCCGCTGCTGTGACCATAATCAATATGATCTGAAGGCGACCCATAAATTCTGCATACTGCGGGAGTCGCTCGTTTATGTCCTCGATGCAGTCGACTCAGAAGTCGACGACCACAAATACCCATCGTCCCGGCTATCTCATGCAGTGAGATCGTCATCTGGATCATGACTCCGATCTCAAGATGGGTGCCTGCAGATGGGGATACGTATTTCGCGCTCGAAGAAAATATACGTGAGCCCAAAATGGGTAGAAACTGGGCGGGGTCTCATAGGACAACTGATCAACGTGAAAGACCGCGGGTCTATATAAAGAGTCGGGTGCTCCATCAGCTCGTGGTTGTCCGTCTGCGGTTAGTCGTTTCCGCGCTCGCTCGCTCGTGCGCTCACTCTGTGGGTGACGATCGCGACTCTCGATCGCGAAGGCTTCGGCTTGCTGAGAGCTGTGCAAGCAGAAGAGCGAGGGCAGTGTCATCCGCTTGTTCTCTCAC